CACTTCCTCAACAGGATAGATATGCTGAGTCGAGAACGCTTCCCGTCATCGATGAAAAACAAGACTACAACCTTACAGAAGCTTACGAAGAAAACAAAAAAACAGTGCTGAAGTTTTCACGTAAATATGACACATGTGACAAACAGGACATTAAGATCGAGGTAATATACAGTCGATTGACAAAAAGTTTCACGAAAAGCGRCAAAGCCCGAACTGGTTTCTGGGTAAAAATCAATGARCTGGCAAATTAGTGATTTGAACGCCTTTRTGATTGGTAGAATTGACACWTAATGTGTGACAAAAATTTCCAAATCACGGGAATTTTTAAATTAAAATTATGCATGCATGTGACGTAGATTTTTACATCTCATCACGGCGGGGAATACAACGTTCAATGTTTAGAATAAATGCCGTTATGGCACATTTTTGGTATAAAATATGTCATACGTCGACGACAAATTGACACTATACTAGAAGGTGTCGTGTTATGCCTAATTTGCCAGTTCATTGATTTTTACCCAGAAACCTGTTCGGGTTGGTCACGTCCTACGAAGTTCGGTCGACGRCAATCTTTTGTCAATCGACTACACCTAATTACACAAACGTTGTCCAAGAAAAAAGAACTTTTACTATTTAGGAATTAATTAAAAAACAAAAGAAAGTGTTCGGCTTCAGTGGTCATGCTTTGTCTTTTAATGTTTTCTTAATTTCCTAAACCCTTAAATCTCARGATAACGTTTTCGTAATTAAGTGTATATACCAGGTTTAAATACTTCAGTTTTGAATTCTTCAATGCCCGGCGTTACATAGCCTCATTTGTGCGCAAATATTCCTAATTGTGAGCATAAAATGTGAGATTTCAAGGCAATTTTATTTTCGGTCTTTATAAAATTCCATGCGTTTTCTTGGGCTATCAATGAAACAAAAGAATATGTTGCTTGGTTTTAAGGCTAATTAACACAGAGCAAACCAGAAGTCGAAAATCTTGGGTTGCATGCAGTTACTGTCTACAGCATCGTCATGAAATATATTAGAAGAATAAATGTATTCCCTGACGATGCTGTAGACAACGAAAGCTCGGATTCTTAAAATTCATTTGTTCCACCACCATATTTGTATATATTTTCTTTGTCACAATTATGCTGMTAAAGGATAACTATACTCGTCTATATTTATTCATTTATTGATATGTTTGTTTATTTTTCTTTTCTCCAGCAAGGAACAGTTCGAGTTATCTACTCTTACCATCCCCAAGATCCTGTATCAGAGGAGACCATCCCGATGCATACCGTCCGAGGCACAAGGTCTTTGTTCCTAAGAAGCATTCTCACTAAAAAGCCAGCCTTGCCCAACGATTTAAAGGAATTTGACTTACGAGTTGACGTATGTTTTAATTATAATTGTTACCAAGTTAATTATTTTTTTTAATGAATATTGCAATGTACTACTTTCATGTTTATACCATTGCGGTTATTGCAATTTTGTACCAATTGTATGTGCATGTCAGCCTGGGCATTCATGTTTCATTTCTCGTGAATTRTCATGGTGCCATCTTCCATTTTTGATTTCCTATGATATTAAATCAAATTTAAGCCCTTAGAGTCTTTTCTAATGATACGTCAGAAAATTATTCGCCTTTTAGAAATAAATAAACAGCTTTTTTTCATCGCAAGCTTCAAAACTAAGCATGTTTGAGCTTGGGTCGAATKTTTCGCCAAATGTCTTAAGAGGTAGCCGTGCCTTTCAATCAAAGTAAGCTAGAAGCTGTGAAGGAGGCTTTCTTCCCCATCTTCCCGCAATTCAACAAAGTTATCTATTGCAATATTACTTGTCTTCTCGCTTTGATGCAAAGGCACTGTTATCTTTCAAGACGAAGCAAGRAAGACGGAGACTTTCATCTTTACCGTCGTCATTTTTATTTTCATTTTCGTGTAGATTAATGTTTCCAGCAAAGAAACCTTGTATTACTGCAAACCATTTCAAATACCAGACTTCAACGATACCAAGAAACACGTCGTCAAGGTAACATGCACGCATCATCAATTGTTTCCATGTGAAAAAAAGTGATGTTTTCTGTGTTTAAATTCGAAGGATTTTTAGAATGTATAATAACTAATCATATTTGCTAATGATTTCAATTTTTCGAGCGCTAGGGAGAGAGAACGGAATGGCCAACCAATGCCCTTCGATCCGCCCATGAAAAGGTCCGAAAAGTCGGAATGGGATTAATAAACATAGTCATTGTGTCCCACACAATCAAACCTATGAACTTGACTTAGCGTTGCTTTTATTTTATTTTATTGTTTTTGTGTAGATCTCTCCTATAATCACCCCTGGTAACGAAGGTATGGTTCACCACATTTTGGTATATGGATGCAAAGATGATTTTCCCGTTTCTAATCTCAGCGGCGAGGGAGAATGCTATACTTCTGACATGCCTGATCACGTAAACTATTGTGCTGGACAGGCAGTAGTTGCAGCATGGGCTATCGGGGGCGATGTGAGTGCGTATATATCTAATAGACTTCTGAAGCTTTTACGTAGCCAACTTGACTCGCAGTGCAATGTGGGACCATAAAAAATCCGCCTGTGATGTTTTGTCCCAAACATGACCCACAATGCATTTCGTATACGGTATATTACGTAAAGCCTCTAGACATCTATTGAACAGTCCCTTTGAATGATTTTCTTCGCCATCTTGAAAGGCAGCCGTGCATTTGCATCGAAGCGAGACAACCGCTGAGTGGGTAATGATGGAAAACCTGCTACAGACAATTTTATTCACAGGCATAATTGACAGCTCAACGGTCGTCTCGCATAGATGCAAATGCTCAGCTACCTTTCAAGGTGGATCAGAGAACCAATCAATTCCTTTTGCTCGCTTTCCGTCTTCCTTCCTTACCCTCCTCCTTCATCCCCCTCACTCCCTCAGTCATCTAGCCATCGATACATTACATTTATCCATTTTTCCAGTATTACATTTTCCCTATATATAGATAATCCGCCCAGAAACTCTCTCTGTTATATTTTTTTTTCGGTCCGGTATCCGAGTCATTCGCGCGCTGTGATTGGATAGCGCGCGGTCCGGTTTTTCACGATCTGCCCGGTCCGACGGTACCCTGCAGCTAGGCTGCGAGCAAAGTTGCATAAAATACAAATAAAGCAAAAAAAAAAATAATATTTACCGGCTATAGGTCGGTCAGTATAGGAAAACACTGCCCGAGGTCTTGAAAGTGCGGAACGAGCACAGCGGACCTTCCAGCCGGTAAAGAACATATGAAAATGGACAGCACAAAAGGGGGTTRAAGAATTTTAATTAATTAATTTTAATTTAAAAGACCCTTTTGATGCAAACCAACCAATGAATTGACCACTTTTGTGATGTACTCTCTCATCTTGATCTGACCCTAGCCAATACACAGCACGTAAGACGCAAATCTCACTATGCTAGGCAGATGCACAGTGACGTCGATTGACCGTCATGCACCTGGACAATATACACGAACACAACGCGCACAGTTTCCTTTTTTCTTGGTAATAAAAGCCGAAATTACTGATCAAAAAGCCCACATTGATTGGTGACCTTCCTTGCAGGCAGGACAATGATGAGAATGGACAGCACAAAAGATGGTTAAAGAATTAAGACCCTTTTGATGTAAACCAACCAATGAATTGCCTCTTTTGGACGGCGGGATTTTCCCGCCTGTCAGAAGACACCTTTTGTGATGTACTCTCTGATATATATATTTCTCACTGTAAAAACAACCTGAAAAAAATGTTTTCCAGGCACCCACCAATGCCTAAACAGACTAACTTTTTTTGGTTGAGCTTAATCTTTTACTGACTCGCGTCCATTTGCTTTACCAGGATTTCTACTTTCCTAGCCATGTTGGATTACCGCTTGGAGACGAACTTGCAGTGAAGTTTGTTGTGATGGAAATTCACTACGACAATCCGGACAAACTAACAAGTATGTGCATAACCTGCAAAGTTAAAGCAAAGGTCCGATTCAGACGTTGTTCTTTTGTGCATCTAATCTTATTGCATTTCCTATAGAAATGCAGAATTTGCAGAGAAATTGCTTTACAACATGTCGGCCATTATGAATTTGTCCTAGTCCCCTATCATCCTTGAAAATAAGGGCTCCCAAAAATGTTAGACAATTGTTAGACAATTGTTTGATATATTTTCTATTTTATTTTTATGTATCTATTTCACTAGACCGCACCGACCAGTCTGGTCTTCGTTTCCACTATACTTCCTCTCTACGCAAATACGATGCCKCTATGCTATGGGTTGGTTGGGCTGTTACTGATAGGATGTGGATCCCACCGTATGAAAAGAAGTGGAATTCTATCGGCTACTGTCCTTCAAGCTGCACAAAACTAGTAAGTAATAAAAATTATCCCAGACTTTGCATGTTTTTCTAAGCTTTCTGCAAGAGGGTATTAAGCTAGGATCTTGCGTACGACTGAATAATACAAAGAGGCAATTTATACAGTTGTTTCAAAAAACGTTATCGTGTAGAACGGCGAACAGCGATTGTCGAAGAGAGATTGCACGACCGAAAGGGACTATGGCTACACTGCTAATTACACTTATTGGATACACATTTCAAAGAAGATGAGGCTGAATGGAGACTTAATAACTTATAAAGTACAAATTGGTTAATATTTCTTATCAACTAGCAAAACCCATGGCTACTTTCGGTCGTGCAATCGCCGTTCGACCATTGACGTTCGCCATTTTATCCGACTACCTTTTTTGTAATAGCTATTTGCTAGCGCTCGCTGCAAAAGCAAAACATTTAAGTTTTCAAAATGCTAGTGCTTGAGACTCCTTAGTTGTTAAGAGTCTTTCTTCGTAGGGATTGGCAAACAGCAGTTTACCAGAGGGAGGCATCAAAGTGTTTGCAGCGATTCTTCACTCTCACCTTCTTGGTAAATATACCAATGACAACAATAATAGCTATTACGATGTTAGCCTGCTCCCTGTTCCTTCTTGGTCTCTTAACAGGAACGCCTATTAGAAGGCTATTATAATGTTAGACTAGGATTCAACAATTTTACCACTCGATCTCGTGGACTACAAGTTGTTAGTGTAATAGGCATTTCTGAGATAGCAGTTTGCATTGCATTGTAGTCTAGATTTGGTAAAAACATCTTTTTTCATATCATGCTGACAAATGTGGCTTTATTTGTACTGAAACTAGAGTCACAATGCACCAATTTGAATTGCACAAAAGGTCTATGAGAGCGTACTATATAATTATATTTGTAAGTCTTATAAGTCTTCGCGCCAATTCGAGTGTGGATATGACTAAATGGACCAAATGCGACTATAACAAATAAAATCGAGAACACAAATCATTTTAATGTTAAAACACAATAAAGTAGATAAGAATCCCAACCGGTGAGAAGGTGAACCAGTGGACTATATTAAAAGCATAACAGAGGAGCCGAATCTGAACTAAGCAAAACCTGAACAAATTCAGTCTCAGCTACTAGTCAGAGCGGGAATCSAACCTTGGACCGCCAGATTACGATACACGGCCATGCTGCTTCCTCACTAGGCCGATAGCAATAATTACAACTGAAATACAACATAAAAATATCTGAATTACCTGCTCAATCTGTTTCTTTCTTTAGGTAGAGCAATTTCGACCAAGCACATCCGCAATGGAAAAGAGCTGCCAGAAATCGCTAGGGACGACCACTATGACTTTAACTTTCAGGTATGCTAGCACCATCCAAGAGCTACGATCATTGCCAAAAAGGCCTTTTGCATGAAACGGTCACATGGTACAAAATCCGCCAAACTGGATGACAAAATACCCACTGGGATTTTCAAAACATAGAAAAGTCCAGCTTGACGGGATGCGTTCCATTTATTTTTTTATTTATTTTTTTTTGAGGTTGAACATTCTTTTGCCATCCAGTATGGCGGATTTTGTACCATGTGACCGTTTCATGCAAAAGGCCTATTGCTTAGACCAATCAAGTGAAGTTTTAAKCAACACCAACAGACAATTTCATCCCCCCCTAAGTGCAATGTTGTCATTAATCATGTTACCGTAGTACATAACCATACAAAACAAGACCCAACATTGATGAAAGGGGGCTAAGAGAAGAATTGTGAAAAAAGTAAAGGAGAAAAATGTTAGGCCACCAATAAATATTTATGTGGTCCAAGGTATTTTGTGCAACGATTCTAGASTCTCATAAACGATATAGAAGTCACATGGTTTCGAAGGTATAGATTGTCCAGGAGTGAATTCTTGTTATTTTCTGCCCTACAGGACTTTCAAATTCTCGAAAAGGAAAGACACATCTTACCGGTAAGCTCTAAGTTCTCCTTGATCCTTTTTACAAGGACTTCCGATTTTTTTTCTTTACATGTATAATCATTCCTTATAAAGATGGACACAAGCACAATCGTACAGAGACGTGTTTGCCATACTAATCCTTAGTTTTTTTATCATTATACTCAGCATAAAAATTATGTTAACAATATTTAAAAGAAAGGCGAAATTAAGATTTTAAAAGAAAGTTAACAACTTTCCCTCTTCGTCTTTATTTTRCAAACTTTCACAAAAACAATGATTTAATTTTGAGAGTATATTTTCAAAATGCAAGAACATTGTCTTGCAATGAAACCTTTATGTGGCGACCATGATTTTTCGACTCGATAGTTTTCCACCATATAGCCATATGAAGTTCTCCTAAGCGGCGATGCTGGTAAGGTAGTTGTTGACGGTAAATTAGAAATATAAACCTCCATTATCAATATAATATTCCTTTTTTTTTCAGGGCGATGAAATGATCACAAACTGTCAGTATGATTCCTCAAAGAGGACCAAGCTTACAATGGTAGGTATACCGTAACCAAAGACCTATCATTAYCTTAACGCCGATTTAGACGGTGCAACTTTTGCCTACAACTATCGCATGCAACCTGCGTAAGTCATCCATACGACATGGCTACAACTGTCGTGAGGCTATTAAGCAATTGTTTAAAATCCCTACGACAGTTGTAGGTTATGTAGCTATGTCGTAAGGATGACTTACGCAGGTTGCATGCGATGGTTGTAGACAAAAGTTGTGCCATCCAAATCGGCCTTAACAGGAGACAATGCATCGTTTCCAGACCCGTAGGCTGCCTTTCAAACGTTTTTCATAATGTGGACCTACATTACAATGGAAAATCTCAGTCTTTTACATACTATGTAAATATTTTGAAAATTGTATTTTACAAAT